AAAAAAAACATCCGATGGCTCCACAGAATTTTTGTAAATTTTATTTCCATAACTTCTTTAATTCAACTGTCAAAGGTAAAATAGTTTGATACCGTGGATTTTATATGAGTTAGTCTATTTATTAGACAGATCGAAGCATCATAGTGCTATAGAAAAAAATGCACTCTTTGTAATAAATTGTGTTCTTACATGACATTTCAATTTGAAAGAATGCAATCTACTGATGATTGTTTAATGCTTATATTGTTTTATAGAGTATGTCATTTAATTTTGAAAATATATTATCAATTAAAAAAAATATATAAGCTAGCAAGATACTAGCAAAATGGTTTTGTTATAGCTAGCAAGATACCAACATTTTATTTATGTGACATTTTGACCATTTTGATATATTCAATGTTTCACATGTTTATGGTTGATGGCCATGTTAGTTAAATGAAATATCAAATAGTGTATTTGCCAAAGTTGTATAATTTAATATATATTGAACAAATTTGCAATTGAATAAAAGTAAAATCCCTCCTGGCAAAAAATATGCAAATTTATTGAACCAAAATCGCTTCTCTCTTACAACTCTACTAGTATTCGATCATGTGCATATGCACAGAGCGAAACAAAAATTTATTTATTATATGTATGTATATGATATTTAAAAAATTAAATTAGATAAAATGTGCATTACGTTTTAAAATTTTGACTATATGTAAATATATAATATAAATATAAATAATTTTACTTCCATATAAATCTTTTCTTTTATTGTGTAACTACAATACATAATAGGAATATTAGCTGTAAAATAAAGAATATTATTAAATGAAGTCCTATTTTTATTAATTAGTGGTTGAATAAAATTTATTAAAGCTTGCCAAGTAAAATCCCTCTTTATATGAAGCAAAGTTTTTCCAGCGGAGCCCCGAGCCCCATCTAGTCAATATTTTAATTTAATAATATATATATATATATAATTGTTGGCAAACTTCATTTAATTTTATTCGGCCTTCAATAAATAATAATATGATTCATTTAATAAAAATACGTTGCATTTAATAAAAAAATTTATGACCTCCATCCAAAAACCGTTACAACATATTTTTTTTCCTTTTAATTTATTCCATACAATCATCCACTTATTTTTTACTATAATTTGGATTTCTAACGGTTGTACGCGATTTCTATTTTTTATTTCTCTATATTTGAAGAATTAAATGTTGCATTGTTACGAAATAATGTTTAAACCCTTAAATTTGAATGGTTAAAAATATTTTTTTAATTTGTATGTTGACTATTCACATGCAAAAGAAGTATTAAGTATTGATATGCTATAAATACAACGCAAAATATATATAGGAAAAGTGGTCTTTTGTAATAGAGATGTTTACCAACTCATTCAAATTGAAATTTTTCATGCAAGATTGTACACTTTATTAGTTGAATTTAATGAAAAATAATTATCTATTTTACTTTATATAATAATTATAGCGATGAATTTAAATACTTTTATGATGTTCATTTTTACCAACGACAAAAATTTTAAAATGTGATACTATTATTTAACTTATAATTTTACTTTATACACATACACGTAACTTATAATTTATAATAATTTAAATTTTTTGCATGTGCACAAGATCAAATATCAGTAATAAAATTATTACTTACTAATTAAATAAACTTGTCTACTAGCTATAGTTAATTAGGAGATCAACTCATTTATCTTCTAACATAGGTTATGTTTGGTAGACCAATAAGCTAGTTTATAGCTTATTTGGTTAGCTTATAAGCTCTCTATATTTAAATAAGCTCTGTTTGGTAGGACGAGCTTATTTAAAAAGCTCGAGCTTATTTAATAAGCTTCTTTAGTTAGCTTTTCAGATAAGCTAGTTGATTTTTTTATTCCAGCTAGCTTATCAGCTAATTTTACCAAACACTTTTATCATATAAGTTAGCTTTCAGCTATAAGTCATAAACTATAACTATAAGCTCGAAAATTACTGATAAGCTATAAACTAACTTATCAGCTAGTTTTACCAATCATAGTCATAATTAACATTCGCATTTTGACTAACTCTAAATGAGCAGCGCAATTCGTTCGGTCCAAATCTATTTGACCCGATATGTAATGGGTCGGGCCACGGAGCTCCGAGAATCCAACAACTATAAAAGCCATCAACCCGCATTTTCCCGCTTTATAGTGTGTTTCAACTTTCCCAATTTCTCCGCAAATTCTAAAGGTAGGGTTTCGGATTATACAAATCAGCTCAAACATTATCGGCGAGCTATCTACAAGTTGATCCGAATCCATAGCCAGAGCTTCGACTGCCTCATTCGTCTGAATCCCCGAGTTTGCCGGTCAGTTGCAGCGTTCGGTAGCGGATTTGAGTTTTGCCGGTATTCGGTCGGATTGAGTTTTTTTTTCTGCGAGAAGCTGCCGATTGTTAGGTATAGCATAAATTTTCGCGTTTCTCATGACTGATTATCTGAAATTTTTGGAATAATTATTAATATGTTAGTCGTAGTTTTGTTGGTTTATCTGAAAGGGGAGGCTCGGATTGAGCGTCTAGAATGCAGAGTTCGGAATGAAGATTCTTATGACTGGTTCATTGTTCGATTCCTTTTTGTTTTTCTTCATCGGATCATTTTACGAATAGACGTAAATTTCGAGTTGGCTTAGCTAAAAGTAGCCGCTGATTGATGCTTTCTGTGGTGATCAGGGAATTTGTTGTTAGTTTCTTATAGTAGTTCTATTTAATGTCTACTAACATTTGTGCTGCATACGTTGGTGGCGTTCGCAATTTTATCATATTGGACTTGTATATGTTACTTGAAATCATTGTTACCCTGCAAACCTCTAGACTCAATGAAATGACTGTAAGAAGGCAACACTGTGGTTGATTTCTGGCTTCAATTATCTAAGGCTGATATAGGTCTTTTGTGGACCTAAGCCATAATATTTGCTGTATGACTAAGATGACCGAGGACAAATGAATTTGATATATTGGAACATGTGATAGTTTTTTGGTGAAGTATTGGATGATATGATGTTTTTTCTTTTCTCTTATTTATATGTGTAGATCAACTTTTTAATTAGTCATTTATGGGGGAAAACACCAGGTCTATCAGGAATTGACATTAACAAAATGCACTTGATCAGTGGGTTGATTTGTAGCTGTATTTTATAGTGTTACTTGGTTGGAAGCCCTAGTTTCTAGTTCACGTAAATCTTCTTCACAGTGGTGGAAGATCACAACTTCTTAGAAAATTAATTTTTATAGTTCTGGTCACAACTTTTAGGTTTGCAGTAAACTGCTAAGTGAATGTGAAGAGTTATTGAGAAAGCCGAGATGAGATGCAATGCCTGCTGGCGAGAATTGGAAGGACGGGCTGTCACTACTACCTGTGGTCATCTCTTGTGTATCCAACTATCATTAGAGAAATTCGGAATTCTTTTATGTTACTCCTGCCAAATTCTTACTTTCATGATTTTTTGTTAGATTTCCTTAATTACTTTTAAAGGCACAGAGGATGCAAGCAAGATTCTCAGTAATGATGGAGCTTGCCCCATCTGTGATCAAGTGCTCTCCAAAAGGTGTGAATTCTAACTTGTTTGTTTCATATCCTGCAAGTAAATTAAAAAGAACCTTTGAAGTATTAGAAGTTACGAGCTGAGGAAGGATCTGTTTCTACTGGAAATTATACTGTATCTGCTTTGCAGAAATCAAGAGTATCTATTCATATGCTCGATGAAAGTTAAAGTGGTCTTACGTTCCTTTATTAGTATATGGTCGATTTGTTGATCAAATGAATTTCCTGTGCACATATATGGTTTCACCTGGCTGACATGTAAACCTTTTTGCTCGTCAGTCTAATGAAGCCCGTAGATATCAATCCAAATGATGAATGGGTAAATGTAAGAAATCTCACAGAAAATCCCTGATTCAGATTTTTATTAGTACTGCGATACACAGCATCACCCTCATTTTATATACTATGATGCCTTCCTTGCAGATGGCCATGGCTGGAGTTTCTCCTCAGATACGTATCCTCAATATTGCATCATATGCACTGTTCAATGATTTATTGTTTATCTGGCCTCACATGTTAACTAGCACTCAGTAAAAGGCTTGAATTTTTCAAACTGTGTATTTTCATTTTCCTGAACGATTTTTAGTGATGAAGAGTGCATACAAAAGTGTAATGTTCTATATGGGGCAAAAGGACTTGGAGATGCAAGTCAAGATGAATAAGGTAGTTGGTCAGTGCCGTCAGAAATGCGAGGCGATGCAAGAGAAATTCACCGAGAAAATGGAGCAAATTTACACTGCATACCAGAAAATGACCAAGAGGTGCCAGATGATGGAGCAAGAGTTGGAGAATCTGACCAAAGATAAACAAGAGTTGCAGGAGAAGTTTTCGGAAAAATGCAGGTGAGTCCTCCACCCCATTTATTTTACTGTATCCACAACAATAGTCATCAAAGATCTTCTTATCTCTCTGCCAGGCAAAAGAGAAAACTCGACGAGATGTATGATCAAGCAAGAAATGAGATCGAGTCAATGAAACGCACAGCAATTCAGCCCGCTCACCATTTCTTTCAAAGACCAGAGCCTGATTTGTTCACAAACTCAGCTGCTAGGCTGGACAACAGAGATCCCATCAGGAAAGGTAATCACATCCTGTTCAAACCCATTTTCCAGTTAACCATAGACTGGGATTCATGTAGACTACTACTTTTAGGGATAAGATAAATCCACAAAATGGGTACAAAAAAGAAAAAAACTTTCAGTTATCATTCACTGATGATTCACGAAAATATCTTGGAACTTAAATGGACAATTGTATATTTAAAATCACGAGATATTTATGCGATCAATGTAAACCGTTTAAGGTCTGGTTTTATTCTTCCAAAATATACTGGTGTACTTATTTTATCGCAGATTGGTCGATTCTCACTCCTGACACTCCAGGGCCAAGGGACGACATGTGGCCGACGAGACACAACAGCTCAAACTCGACATTCGACATGTCTGGTGGCTCGCCGGCAAGACAGCCGGCCATGCCGACTGAGACAGGTAACAACAGGATGCATGGCGGTGGTCAAGCTCCTTTCGGCACCAGACATGGGCCCGCAACAGGAAATCCTTCGATGACTCTCAGAAATCTCATTCTTTCCCCGATAAAGCGTCCTCAGCTCACCCGCAGCCGGCCTCAGATGTTCACGTAAGCTCTGATAAAAACTCTGGTTTGTTTCATGATTTCAAAACAACGCAAATTCGAATAAATATGATCCTGATTTCGTAACATCTGGAATTGGGAAGGTAAAATATTATATAGTTCGAAAAAAAACTGCAATTTGAGATGAATAAATGGGTTTGGACTTGGAAATATATCCAATTGCAGCATTATTCAGTTCATTCTCTTTCTAGAGAGTTGAAAATATGAGGACAAATACGAGGATAGTTCTTGTTAGAACTTATAACTAAGGAACAAATGATAGTTTTTGTTAGTTATCCCATATTTTAAATTTGCTGCATCTCATATTTTATCTCATTTTTCTGTTCTTGTAGGTTGTAGGTAACAGAGGTCTGCCATCCGTGAGCCTGTTGCAAGTTTTAGCCTTTATATGCCTTTCTGTAAAGTTCTCTTGTTAGAAAAACTGCATAAGAAAAACTGTAGATAAAGGTTTACTCTGTTTTGTAAGATACATCTCTGACTTTGTGTTTGCTTTACAAATCCAAAATGATCGACAACTCTTAAATATATATATTTTTTTTTTGGGAAATACTATACGAAATAGAGAGAGTTCAGTCTGATGTTCATCACATTCTCCACATACTTCCTTAACATTAGGTCAAAACATCGGAAGTTCACATTCACAATTTCCATCGCCGAGACATAATAATATATCTCAAAACCACAGTATATACTCCTTCATTCATTCATTCTTGCATTGTGATAACAAATGATTTGACAAATATACTTTCAACGGCGGGCCCTTTGTGGACAGTTCTATAGTATCCCCAAGCTGCACAGAGTGCACCACATGAGACCCATCAATGTACAACAGACCTTTCCTACAAAACCACGAGATGTCCATACTTTCGTTCGACTTAACAAACCCATGCACTGAATGTTTATTCGCCCCTGGAGAAATTGGCTCCCTCACCATGTACTGAAGATCCTTCGACAAAATCGGCATTATTGATCCACCACACGAGTGGATTGCAGCCGTTGATCCAGCGGCCGTTGAGACCCTTAAACCGCTTGATCTACTGTGCTGTAAGGATGAGAAAGGCTCCCCGTTTTTCTTGATCCTATCAAAGGCAAGAAAATACATGAAAAAGAAAAAGAAAGGTAATGCAAAAACGTGAGAAAATTTTACTCGTACCTGAATGAGAATCTAGAAACTGTTGCGGGGCATGGATGCGCAAGTAGAATATCGTTTAGAGCCAAAGTCGAAATGGGTTTCGAGTTTATGGTAATAGCCATCCTTGCTAGTTCAGAAGGTTCTGATCGATTCTCAAGGATCCCATCTAACATCTGTAGATAGAAACACAGAAATTTGTTTCAGATGGAGCTAAGAATCTATATCAACAGCATATTCAAGGTGATTTATATGGACAAGTCACTCTAGATCAGTGTACACTCGAATTTCACACTTCTCTTTTTTAAATTTCACAAAATTCGGAAACTGATAAGTAAGCAATAAAGACGGATCACGGATGGATGGTTTTAAGCGGCAGCTTTACATGTTCAAAGTTATCGACAGTGGCAGCACAAAGATAGCCTGTGCTTCTCGTGGCATCAAATTCCTCGCTTAGTTCCGCCACCTAAGTACATAAAAGAAAAAAACGACTGGTAAATCACTAGCTTGTAACACCATCTGAAGTAAAAAAATGAGCACAGTCATAAAAAAAATAACCACAACAATAATATTTGGCAGAGTCAGGAACGAAAAGAACAATAGGTGTATAAATATATAATGTCAGATCAAAACAATCGAAACCAGGACAAGCAAGAAAAATAAGTTAAAACCTCTTCCGGTCGAGTGGGATCAGAATTGACTCCTAGTACCGGAATCTTGTCATCCATTAAATGGCTTGCTTGTAATAACGTGCCATCACCTCCAACCGAGACTACAAAATCGACATCATGGATGGGCTCAGATAGATCACTACGGAAGAAAGCCTTCCAGTCGACAGCTTTTTTCTCCAGAATGTTCTGGAGCAAGTTAATGGCGTGCTTGTGGGCTAATGTCCTGTCGTGTAAGTATTTTAATACCTGAAATGTCCTCAGGAGGGAAAATAACAATTGTAACCTGAGCAGAAAAAAAAGGGTGTAGCCCAAGAAAGATGACACCTCTAGAAAGCTTTTAAAGCAGTCGAATATTGGAGTTTAGAGATCTTAAACCTCAATGGACAGAAAGTTAACACCAAGAAAAACATTATTTTGCGTATTTTAGAAGGTGCTAAGGTAGCAGTTAGGTACCAGAACCGTCTCTCTTTCACGAATAGTAAAGAAAATATTTACTCACTGCCTATGAAATTTCTCAGGAAAAATACCACATTCATTCACTTTCACGGGTTTCACCTACTCATTTCATTAGACAAAACCATAAAATTAGGGGTGAACTAGCACAATACAAAACACGAACACAGCACGAATCGAAAACACGATTACAAAGACAAATGGCACGACACGAAAAATGCACAAAATAAAAAAAATTAGTTAAATTTGAACTTGTTATCATATCTATGCTCAAACAAGAAAGATAACACGAAAGCACGACAGTGAAACACGAACATGAACACGACACGGTAGCACGAATTGGTCACCCCTACATCAAATTAACTAATCATATCACTGGGTCGTTTCATCAGATTAACTGTTCCCATTAATCTCCAACAACATTCTCAAAGCTCATTTGTCTTGATCACCATTCTCCAGCAGAAAGAAATCACAAAAAAGGAAAATGGAAAAAATAATAAAATCCCAAAGGAAGATAGTTTAGTTTACACTCTAATCCGCTCCCCTAGAGTCAAATTCCCACAACGCAAGTGCGCCTCAAAACCGAAAAAACACGCAACATAAGCCACAAAATTACGGCTTCCCTTAGAACACGAGTCTTTCTGACATTTTATCAAGCAGATTATGTGCATTCAAACGTCAAAACACAGCGTTGGCTACTCATCAAACATCAACAAATCGACACATTAGGTACCTTGCGGCGGTTGGAGGAGACGGAGTCAACAGAGGACGACCCATGAGAAGGGTACACATCAAATGGCTTCAACAGCATCAGCAATCTCTTTCGCACCATTTTTACTGTTTTTTTTTTTTTTCTTTTTCCTGTTCTTTTTCAGGAGCTAGAATGAGCGGGACGTGTTTATAGAATTTGATCCGATTAAATGGGCGGATTCCATTCCATGGCGTTTTTTTATGAATGGGCCTTCGGCCCAGTTCTGATTATAGGCTTTGTTTCTGGTTAATGCATGGATATCTATTGAAATCAAGTTCGGGTTAAACTGAAAAAATTGTCAAAAAAATCAGAATAGATTCTGCAAGCCCGATAAATCTGGCCCATGACCATACAACGTGCATGTTGCACTGGCTCTAAACGAAGCCAACATGTGAGATCGTCTCGTTAAGACTCGAGCTCAAATCAAACAAGTTGGACTTTAGTTAAAGTTCGAAATAAATTTTTTTTATGTAATTTTTTATAGTTCGGCTCGTTACGACTCGAGTTCGATTTGTTGACATTAATAAACCGAATCGTTAGTTATCAAATTATTTAGTTGATTAAGCTCAACTCGCTCGAACCTAATCTCGATTCTCGGGTATCAGAAGCTCGACACATGTGATTTTTTTTTTTTTTGGATTGGGCAAATCGAACAAATAAAAATAAATAAATTGGACAAGAAATTCCCCAACCAATCAATGAGATACAAAACTTTCCTCCAATTAAATAAAAGCCCATATGTGAACATGAACAAAAACAACAACAACAATAAATTCAAAAGAAAAAATTGTACACCAAGCACACTTGCAAGAAGATACTCACAAGTCACAAGCAGCTCATCCAATAGTTCTTTCATCATCATATGCTAATAAGAACCAACCCCACCACCTGTGTAGACTATAAGAACAAAAAAAAATGAAGAAAAAAGGGACAGTACACCAAAATACCATAACTGAGGCTACCAAAAGTAAAAATACATGACATCATCTCCCAAATCGACTAAAAGAGACCTCAAACGCTCACTTGGCCAGGGGAGCAGTTTTCCTGTTCGGCTCGAAAACATATTTAACAAGCGACTCCTTGATCGACAGCAGCTCGGGAAATTCCTTCTTCAGCTTTGATGCATCCATCTCGTTGTTACTCCTTGGGGCAACTATGACCTTCGCTTGCTCCTCTAGAGTGAAGTTGCTCCACTTGAAACCCGGCTCGATGTACTCTTTGTACATCTCCAGGATCTCGTTGTGGCTAACGACACCCGGGTTAGTGAAGTTCCATATTCCCCTAAGGTCCCGTTTGGCCATCTCGACTGAGATCGGGAGGAGCTCGTCTAGGATAGTCATGCTGTTCGGGATGTTGACCACTTTGTTGTAACGGGAGATTTTGGTGATGAAGTTGCGCGGGTTGCTGAGATCGGAGGATATTGGCATGCGGACCCTGAGCGTGCACACGTTATCGTATTCTTTCAAAAGCTCCTCCACCTGATTCAAGAACGCATTTTTTTAAATAATAGACACAGTAATGTATCTCGAATAAAGTACTTAATTTGCAGAGGAATAGTCAAACGAGTAAAATTTTGTAATTACCATTGCTTTGGTTTTGGAATAGAAAGAGCCAGTGAAATTCGGCTTGTCTTCCTCCTTAAACCCGATCCCTGAACCTTCGGGATGCTCGGCATCATACTCGAATATGCATCCTGTGGCATAGTTCATCACCAGCAATCCTTGATCCCTGCAAACATCCGCTAGAGTCAACGTGCCCGCCACATTGGTACGAATCGTCTCTGTCTTATGAGACTCACACCAGTCCACATTAGGTCTGCCAGTTACACCAGCCGCATTGAAAACGTGCGTGGGCTTAACAGATGCAATATCAGCCAAAATCGAGGCCCGGTCCTGCAGGCGCCCCTTTCCGTATTCATACGGGATCCCCTGCTTCTCGCAAATCTTCCCAAGCAGACCACCGATCCAGCCCGTCCGTCCGTAGATCAAGAACTTGAGGCCCGGTTTCTGTGCTGACAGGCCGTTTCTGTTGTTTTGGACCACCACCATCTTAGTTGGGCCTGAGTTCTCCGAGGAGTTGGGCTTGGTTGGCTCGTGCTTCTCAACGCCACCTGGCATCATCAACATCCTCGGGTGAGGGATCAACGCACCCGACACATCGCCCCACCAGTCGGGATTGCTCGTGTACCACTCAATAGTCTTCCTCAGCCCCTCCTCCCAAGTGGTCCTCTCAGACCATCCCAGATTCTTCAGCTTCTGATCATCCAGAAAGTACCTCTGATCGTTAAACGGCCTGTTATCGACAAACTCGATGCTCTTATCCGAGTCCATGTTGAACAGTTTGCATATATCCTTAGCAACATCGATTACCCTCCTCTCCTTCTTCGTCCCGATGTTATAAACATGCCCAACCTCCCCTTTGTGAAGAACCACCTCAAATGCCTCGGCCACATCCTCACAGTAGAGGTAGCTCCTCACGTTCGACCCGTCACCATGGATCGGGAGAGTTTTCCCCCTCATGGCCAAAAGGATGAACTTTGGGATCAGCTTCTCCGGGAACTGGTTCGGGCCATACACGTTGTTCCCCCGAGTAGTGATAACCGGCAGCCCGTACGATCGGCCATAAGCCATGACGAGCATCTCGGCTCCGGCTTTAGTGGCCGAATAAGGGTTGGTGGGGAGGAGCTGGGAGGCCTCGTGATTGCCAACGACTGCATCCTCATCGGTCTCACCGTAGACCTCGTCAGTGCTGACGTGGATGAAGCGACGGATCTGACCGGTGACCTTGCAGGCCTCGAGGAGGACGTGGGTCCCGTAGATGTTGTTCTTTGTGAACTCGAAACTGTTGCCGAACGAGTTATCGACGTGTGTCTGGGCAGCAAAGTGCATGATGGTGTCGATGTTTTCGGTTATCAGAAGGTAGTTTACAAGGTCGGCGCTCTCGATGTCTCCCTTGACGAACTTGAAGTTGGGGGAATGGTTGGAAGGGAGGAGATTCTTCAGGCTCGAGCAATAGTCGAGCTTGTCGAGGACCACAATTTTGTAGTCCGGGTGGTTGCGGACGAGCCG